TCCATCGCCACACCTGCCATGTGGGCCATTTAGGTCTCCCCACTGTGGTGTGTTCCCTTTGTCATTGGGTTGGGGAGATTTCGGGCCTCCCCTTCTGCTCCCAGGCCCCCAATGTGCCCTTTGGGGCCCCGTACCCCCTCCTATGCTGCTGCCAGGTCCAGAACTCTCTTGGGTCCCCGTACGGCTCCATTGCGCTGTCTCCATTGCCCCACTCTGCCAATGTGCCATTCAGGGTCTCCTCACATGCTGGTGTGTTCCATTTTTTCAAGGGTGCTGGCAGATTAAGGGCCTCCCATTGCTGCTGCCGGCCCGTAATCTGCCATGGGCCCCCGTACCGCCTCCCTTCATGCTGCTGCCAGGTCCAGAGTACTCTCTTGGGTCACACGGTACGGCCTCCCATTGCTGCTGTCTCCATCGCCCACACTCTGCCAGTGCCACTTTCAGGTTCCTACACTGCTGGTGGTTTCCATTTTTGTCATAGGGGTGCTGGCAGATTACGGGCCTCCCATTGCTGCTGCCAGGCCCGTAATCTGCCATGGGCCCCGTACCGCCACGCACTCCCTCATGCGTGCTTGCCAGGTCCAGAGTCTCTCTTGGGTCCCTGTACGGCACCTCCCAATGCTCGCTGTACTCCAATCGCCACCCTCTGCCATGTGCCACATTTCAGGTCTCCCTCTCACGGCTTGGGAGGTGTTCCATTTCGTTAATAGGGTGCTGGAAGGATTACGGGCCCCCCCCTTGCTGCTGCCAGGGCCCGTAATCTGCCCATGGGGCCCACGTACCGACTCCTCCTGCTTGGCTGCCAGGCCCGTAATCTGCCATGGGCCACTGTACCGCCTCCTCATGCTGCTGCCGGTCCAGAAAGTCACTTTATGGGTTCCTGTACGGCCTCCCAATTAGCTGCTGTCTCAATCGCTCACCACTCTGCCATGTGCCACTTTTCAGGGTATCCTCCCACTGCTGGTGTGTTCCATTTGTCATAGGGTGGCTGGCAGAGGGGATTTTTTTATTATTTTTTTTACGGGCCTCTCATTGCTGCATGCAGGCCGGTAAATGTGCCTTGGGCCCCTGTATACGACCTCCTCATGCTGCTGTCAGGTCCAGAGTGTCTCATGGGGACCCTGTACGGCCTCCCATTGCTGCTGTCTTTCATTGCCGCCCTCTTCCATGTGCCACTTTCAGGTACGCGCTACCCAATGCTGGTGTGTTCACATTTTGGTTCATTGGGTGTTGCTAGCAGGATTACGGGCCCTCCCCTTGCTGCTCGCCAGGCCGGTAACTCTGATCTTCATGGGGACCCTCTCCTGCCACCCCTCCCTCATGTCCTCCCTTCCTCTTGTGTCCCCCCTGCCTACCTCCCCCCTCACTCCCAGCCCTCTCGTACCCCTCCGTCCCCTCTTCCCTCTCCTCCCCCCTCCTCACCCCTCGCCCCCCTCCCCCTGCCCTCTGCCTCCCTCCTCTCCTCCAGGTCCCCCTCACACTCCCCTCCCCCATCTGCCTTCCCCTTTCCTCTCTCCATCCCCTCCTCCATCCTCCCTCTCCCCCCTCACTTACTCCTCCCATTGCTGCTGCCAGGTCTCCCGTAATCTGCCATGGGCCCCCGTAACCACCTCCTTCATGCTGTGTTGCCAGTCCAAGAGTCTCTTCATGGGTCCATGTACGGACTCCATTGCTGCTGTCTCCATCGCCACACTCTGCATGTGCCACTTTCAGGTCTCCTCACAATTGCTGGTGGGTGCGGTTCCATTTTGTCATAGGGTGCTGGCAGATTACGGGCATCCCATTGCTGCTGCCAGGCCCGTAAATCTGCCATGGGCCCCCCGTACCGCGATTCTCCTCATGCTGCTGCCAGGTCCCGTAATCTGAGTACCGCCTCTCGATGCCAGGGTTCCCCTACTGTACGGCCTCCATTGCTGCTGTCTCTCCATCGCCACACTCTGCCATGTGCCACTTTCAGGTCTCCTCACACTGCTGGTAGGGTTCCATTTTGTCATAGGGGTGCTGGCTGAGATACGGGCCTCCCATTGCTGCTGCCAGGCCCGTAATCTGCCATGGGCCCTGTACCGCCTCCTCATGCTGCTGCCAGGTCCAGAGTGTCTCATGGGTCCCTGTACGGCCTCCCATTGCTGCTGTCTCCATCGCCACACTCTGCCACTTCAGGTTGTGCCGGACTTTTCAGCCCCCTTTTGGTCTCCTCACACTGCTGGTGGGTTCCATTTTGTTCATAGGGTTGCTGGCAGATTACGGGCCCTCCCATTTGCTGCTGCCAGGCTCCGTTTAATCTGCCATGGGCCCCCCCGTACCGACTCCTCATTAGCTGCTGCCAGGTCCCGTAATCTGCCATTGGGGGGCCTACCCCTGTACCGCCTCCTCTGCATGCTGCCGGTCGTGCCAGAGTCTCTCATGGGTCCTGTACGGCCTCACATTGCTGCTGTCTCCATCGCCACACTCTGCCATGTGCCACTTTCAGGTCTCCTCACACTGCTGGTGTGTTCCATTTTGTCATAGGGTGATGGCAGATTACGGGCCGTTCCCATTGCTGCTTGCCAGGCCCGTAATGTGCTTGGGCCCCTGTACGCTCCCTCATGCTGCTGCAGGTCCAGAGTGACTCTCATGGGTCCCTGTACGGCCTCCATTGCTGCTGTTCTCCATTGCCGCACTCTGCCATGTGCCACTTTCAGGTCTCTTTCACACTGCTGGTGTGTTCCATTTTGTCATAGGTTGCTGGCAGATTACGGGCCTCCCATTGCTGCTGCCAGGCCCGTAATCTGCCATGGGCCCCGTACCGCCTCCTCATGCTGCTGCCAGGTCCAGAGTCTCTCATGGGTCCCTGTACGGCCTCCCATTGCTGCTGTCTCCATCGCCACACTCTGCCATGTGCCACTTTCAGGTCTCCTCACACTGCTGGTGGGTTCCATTTTGTCATTAGGGTGCTGGCAGATTACGGGCCTCCCATTGCTGCTGCCAGGCCCGTAATCTGCCATGGGCCCCCGTACCACCTCCTCATGCTGCTGCCAGGTCCAGAGTCTCTCATGGGGTCCCTGTACGGCCTCCCATTGCTGCTGTCTCCATCGCCACACTCTGCCATGTGCCACTTTCAGGTCTCCTCACACTGCTGGTGGTTTCCATTTTGTCATAGGGTGCTGGCAGATTACGGGCCTCCCATTGCTGCTGCCAGGCCCGTAATCTGCCATGGGCCCCCGTACCGCCTCCTCATGCTGCTGCCAGGTCCAGAGTCTCTCATGGGTCCCTGTACGGCCTCCCATTGCTGCTGTCTCCATCGCCACACTCTGCTGCCATGTGCCACTTTCAGGTCTCCTCACACTGCTGGTGGGTTCCATTTTGTCATAGGGTGCTGGCAGATTACGGGCCTCCCATTGCTGCTGCCAGGCCCGTAATCTGCCATGGGCCCCTGTACCGCCTCCTCATGCTGCTGCCAGGTCCAGAGTCTCTCATGGGTCCCTGTACGGCCTCCCATTGCTGCTGTCTCCATCGCCCACACTCTGCCATGTGCCACTTTCAGGTCCTCACACTGCTGGTGGGTTCCATTTTGTAATAGGGTGCTGGCAGATTACGGGCCACACCCATTGCTGCTGCCAGGCCCATAATGTGCCCCATGGGCCCCTGTACCGCCTCTTCATGCTGCTGCCAGGTCCAGAGTCTCTCATGGGTCCCTGTACGGCCTCCCATTGCTGCTGTCTCCATCGCCACACTCTGCCATGTGCCACTTTCAGGTGTCCTCACACTGCTGGTGGGTTCCATTTTGTAATAGGGTGCTGGCAGATTACGGGCCACCCATTGCTGCTGCCAGGCCCGTAATGTGCCATGGGCCCCTGTACCGCCTCCTCATGCTGCTGCCAGGTCCAGAGTCTCTCATGGGTCCCTGTACGGCCTCCCATTGCTGCTGTCTCCATCGCCACACTCTGCCATGTGCCACTTTCAGGTCTCCTCACACTGCTGGTGGGTTCCATTTTGTCATAGGGTGCTGGCAGATTACGGGCCTCCCATTGCTGCTGCCAGGCCCGTAATCTGCCATGGGCCCCCGTACCGACTCCTCATGCTGCTGCCAGGCCCGTAATCTGCCATGGGCCCCTGTACCGCCTCCTCATGCTGCTGCCAGGTCAGAGTCTCTCATGGGTCCCTGTACGGCCTCCCATTGCTGCTGTCTCCATTGCCACACTCTGCCATGTGCCACTTTCATGTCTCCTCACACTGCTGGTGTGTTCCATTTTGTCATAGGGTGCTGGCAGATTTCGGGCCTCCCATTGCTGCTGCCAGGCCCGTAATCTGCCATGGGCCCCTGTACCGCCTCCTCATGCTGCTGCCAGGTCCAGAGTGTGTCATGGGTCCCTGTACGGCCTCCCATTGCTGCTGTCTCCATCGCCACACTCTGCCATGTGCCACTTTCAGGTCTCCTCACACATGCTGTGGGGTTCCATTTTGTCATAGGGTGCTGGCAGATTACGGGCCTCCCATTGCTGCTGCCAGGCCCGTAATCTGCCAAGGGCCCCGTACCGCCTCCTCATGCTGCTGCCAGGTCCAGAGTGTCTCATGGGTCCCTGTACAGCCTCCCATTGCTGCTGTCTCCATCGCCACACTCTGCCATGTGCCACTTTCAGGTCTCCTCACACTGCTGGTGGGTTCCATTTTGTCATAGGGTGCTGGCAGATTACGGGCTCCCATTGCTGCTGCCAGGCCCGTAATCTGCCATGGGCCCCCGTACCGCCTCCTCATGCTGCTGCCAGGTCCCAGAGTCTCTCATGGGTCCCTGTACAGCCTCCCATTGCTGCTGTCTCCATCGCCACACTCTGCCATGTGCCACTTTCAGGTCTCCTCACACTGCTGGTGGGTTCCATTTTGTCATAGGGTGCTGGCAGATTACGGGCCTCCCATTGCTGCTGCCAGGCCCGTAATCTGCCATGGGCCCCTGTAACGCCTCCTCATGCTGCTGCCAGGTCCAGAGTGTCTCATGGGTCCCTGTACGGCCTCCCATTGCTGCTGTCTCCATCGCCACACTCTGCCATGTGCACTTTCAGGTCTCCTCACACTGCTGGTGGGTTCCATTTTGTAATAGGGTGCTGGCAGATTACGGGCCTCCCATTTGCTGCTGCCAGGCCGTAATCTGCCATGGGCCCCCGTACCGCCTCCTCATGCTGCTGCCAGGTCCAGAGTCTCTCATGGGTCCCTGTACGGCCTCCCATTGCTGCTGTCTCCATCGCCACACTCTGCCATGTGCCACTTTCAGGTCTCCTCACACTGCTGGTGGGTTCCATTTTGTCATAGGGTGCTGTATGGCTTCCCATTGCTGCTGCCTCCACCGCCACACTGTGGCTCCACACTCTGGTTTTGGCCCCGTGACTGCCCAAATGAGTGAAGTGTGCGGTGATTCTAAGATCGACGGCACTCATGTGCATGTCATACTGACTGACAGTATTATTTCTCTTCCCCAGCAGACTCCAAGGGCATTTAAATTAAAGGTACAGTGTTCTGCACTAATATAAAGGCTCTCTGAAGCCTAGAAACACCCTTTTTATAAAGTTAAATTCGCAGCGAATATATTCGCATCGAATCGAATTTATTCCTCGTATTCGCCGAATCAGCCGAATCGAATATTTTTGAATACTTCGCTCATCTCTAGTTAAAATAATAAACATGTTATACTTTCCTGCTCAAGAACCTCTTCTAGGGTCTCTCACCAGTGCTCCTGGAACCTCCCCCTCCTGCTGAGTGCCTCCATGCTTTCTATGGGGGCATTTATGTATGCTCAATCCTGAGCCGGGCTGTTTGCACCTATTCAGACACACAGTCTGGATTGAAACTGATCCCCACTATCAGGTTTTTACTGACATCAGCAGGGGCCAATGTCTTCCGCTGCTCTCAGCCAACGCCAGTGAGACTGGGGAGAGGGGGAGAGGAGAGCTGCTGCAGACATGAACAGCGATGGAGCAAGATCAGGCTCAGGTAAGTATTTGGGAGGGGGGGGACTGCCGATAGCTACTTTTAAAAGGTTTTTTACTTTAATGCAGAGAATGCATTAAGGTAAAAACCTTTTACCTTTACAACCACTTTAACCAGTTCCAGACCGGCCGTTGTATATAAACGGCCGGACGGTGGCACTGCAGGGTCGGGTGGCGTTTAAAAACGGCCTCCCCCGCACCCTGCTTGTGCACGCTCCCGGGGGGGCACGCAGCACCGTAATCCGGTGCCCGCTGTATCCTCCGGACACAGTGAAACACCGATCGTCGGACGGGACCTCTGTAACAAGGTCCCGATCATGTGATCACTGATTGGCCAATCAGTGGTCACATGCAAAGTAGTAAGCAAGATGTCACTTCTGACATCATTGCTTACTACGTGTGAAATCTGTGAATGATCACAGAGGTCACATGGTACAAGGCTATTCACAAACAGCCTTGTACCATGTGACAAGCTGTGACCAATCACAGCTCACTCAGTAGTTCTCAATGGCTGCAAGAATGCAGACAGAGAGAAAGAAAAATGATTGCTTTTACATCCTATATGGGTGTAAAAGCAATCAGTGTAAAAAAAAATAAAAAATCCTTCATCACCCCCCAAAAAGTAGTACAGTGTCACCATGGCATGGCATGACAGTATGTTAAAAAAAAATAAAAATAAATAAATAATAATATAAAAAAAAAATGTAAAAAAATTGTTTAAAAATTATAATTTTTGGTGATAAAACTAATTTGGCTTTTTTTTACTAAAAAGATAACGGAATAAATTTTGGCCAAGATTTTATGATGAATATTATTTTTTTGCAAAATTTTATAAGAAAAACAAAACACTTTTTGCTAAATTTTTGGACATTTTCATTTACATAGCAAAAAAAATAAAAATCCCAGCGGTGAATAAATACCACCAAAATAAAGTTTTATCTGTCTCAAAAAAAATGGTAAAAAATTCATATGGGTACAGTGTTGAATGACCGCGCAATTGTCATTCAAAGTGTGACAGTGCTGAAAAGCTGAAAAATTGCCCTGGTCAGGAAGGGGGTAAAAGTGTCCGGACTGGAAGTGGTTAAAGTCTCCATCAGAAGCCTATGTGACAATACAGGAACACAGTTGGAAGACAGGAACAGAGCGTTGTCACCCTATAAGATCTCTTGCACACGGGAGTACAAAACTCAACTTTTTTTACATATCTGAATACAGGTGCATTGTCTATGGAACAATACATACAACTGCATAAAGATCAGTAATACAATTTACTTTTGATTGCAGTCATTTATGCACATTTGCATGTATACATGCTTTTATATTGCAACACTGGCAACTAGATGAAAACTAATTTTACACATGTATATACATTCTCATGTTTATACTCCTACACACGTGTATACACAAGTCTCTTTGCAGAACATTTTACTTAGGATCTTTCTTTCAACAAGATCCTGGGTGTAAACATCAGTAAATTATTTGTGTGCAAAAGGCCAACAGGACAGGATCGCCAGCTTTCAAAATATTAACAGTTACTTTTAAGTACATTAACTTGTTAAAACATTTACAAAACTTTGGTAGTTGGATTTACATTTCTTAATCTGCACACTTATAATAATTTCCTACATTTGCCGTGCAGTGATAATCCAGGCAAAATAGCTCACAACAGTAAAACAAGGGGTGCACTGATGACATGCCCTAACAAGTGGATTTTTGTATCAGATTAAAAAGAAAAAAAATAAATAGAAGGGTTGGGTTAATCTTGGCTGAAGCCCAACATGCTGAATTAAATTGTTAAAACCACTGACAATTGATAATCACAGCATATACATTAAAAAAATCTCACGTTCTTGAAATCTTTTTCTTTGTTTTGAACTCAACGTAGTTGTTGCCTACCCACATTAGCTATTCTTAGACTGACTCTGACAGCCCTGTTTTATACAACCTAATACCACCTCCATATCCTGTTCATAATAGGCTTACTAAAAATACAAGGCTGCAGAACAGGCACGACAACCAGGAGCCATATTACTCTTTCCTGGTGTCATGCAATACAACAGAGTTACTAGTAAGTACTTATTCCTTTTTTACATAGGAAAATAATTTGGTCTATTGATTACAACCTGAGCAACTAGATTAATCACAAAAGTCAACTAAAAAAGTTAGACTTTAAAGCAATAAGATTGTGTGCATAAGGGCAGTTCATCTGTCTTGCATTGCAATACTACATCAGTTCATCTCTACACCGGAGGCATGGTGGTGACCACAAAAGTGTAACTGCATGTAGTCTATACCTGCAGATGTGTTCTGTGTGTGTATACAGGAACCATCCCTCCCCAGGAGATAAAAAAAGTAATACAAGTATTGCTATGATCCTGACTGCCATGAAAGCAATGTAGATATATTGAGCACCGAATCCATGTACAGTATATAGAGCTAAAGGAACATGCTGCAGACAATCTCAACCAGTCTGCTCCAAGCCTCCCACCACTGCACCGCCATTGTTTTTGGACATTTTTGAATAGGGTCTTGTAGTGGGTTTTATTGTATCTAATTAATTGGCAAAAGCTTGGTTTCTCTGGTGTGAATCCTTCACAAGACACACATGGTTGCAATCCACTTGTATCAAAATCTATCCTGCCATCTTCACTCTATAACTAATGTCTTAATGCAGTGAAATTTGTAAGATGGAAGGTGGATCATCCTGTATTGGATAACACCGATAAATCTATTTTGGAATTTTCGAAGTTGGTTTTTGTGCTTCAGCTAAAGAGACATGTTTTTTACAGTTTAAGCAGAATATCGTAAATATTAAATGGCAGTAAGAGCAGGGCACTGTATTTGGACAGATGTCCTTGGCTGACTGGTGTATTTCTTGCTCAATGTATTTTCTCATTCATGGCAAGGCAGACTATTATTATTATTTTATTATTATACAGTATTTATAAAGCGCCAATGGTTCGCTCAGCGCTGTACATTACAGAGGGGGACAGAACATGTGACAGAACAATAACAATACAATGCAAAACATGAGGAGATCGAGGGCCCTGCTCTTTCGAGCTTACAATCTAGGAGGGAGGGGATGGTGGCACAGGAGGAGATAGCTGTGGGGAATGGAGTGGTAGGAAGAGTGGAGGAGGTCGGCAAGTTAGCAGGGGGTGGGGTAGGCTTCCCTGAAGAGATGGGTTTTCAGGGTGCGCCAAAAGGAGAGGAGAGTAGGTGATAATCTGATGGGTTGGGGCAGGGAGTTCCAGAGGATGGGTGACACGCTGGAGAAGTCCTGGAGGCG